TGTGTACTTACACGGATATTTCTTGGGTTCTGTCGAATGGGGAGACATTTTCATGATTGTTTTTTTTTTTTCTAATATGAACCTAGCACTTTTTGTTGTCAAATCATAACCGAATCGTATATATGTGACTCTGTGGATCATGCACGACTTATTACTATGTATATCAGTTGATTTGTTCTACTAGATCAACCAAGACTGCAATAATGTCTGTAGTATCGAAAGATGTCCAATCAGATTTAAAGTGTCTATATGGATCATGCATGATCTATGTCCGACTAATCCAGATGTTCAAGGTTCTTCAAATCGTCCTGGAGTTCAGATAATTTGATCTACTAGATCAACCGAGATTGGGACACTAAAGACTATCGAAATATTTCCAGACAGATGCACAATGTCTATATGGATAATGTATGATTTATTTCCACGTGTACCAGATGATCTAGGTTCTCCACATCGTTCTGCAGTTCAGATGATTTGTTTTACTATATCAACAAAGCCTGGGATAATATCTGTAGTATCGAAAAATCGATTTGGAAATCCTAGAACATTTGACATACACGGAAATAGGTTGGCATGATCCACATAGACACTGCAAATTTGTTTGGACATATTTCGATATTACAGATATTGCATTAGTCTTGGGTGATCTAGTAGAAAAAAATCTGATCTCCATAATAATTTCAAAACCTATAACATCTTGTATACGTAGCAATAGGTCGGGAACCATCCACATAGACATTTTAAATCTGTTTGGACATATTTCGATACTACAGACATTACAGACTGCAATCTTGGTTGATATAGTAGAACAAACCAACTGAACTCCAGGACGATTTGGAGAACCTAGAATATCCGGTATACATGGCAATTACTCGCATATATACGATTCGTTTATGATTTGGCAACGAAAAATGCTATGTTCATATTGGACAGACCCCAGGGAATTTCCGTGTAAATCCGGTATGAGATCATTTCTCGATTATTTGCAGGGTGTTTCGTTTGAACCAGTAAAAAATTGAGAGCCAAATGAACAACAAAATTGATGACAGCAAAATAATCCGAGACCGAAAGGTGACAATGAATTCCACAATTTTTGTGACAGCACATTAGTCCCTTCGCGATTTTCACGACATCATTTAGTGTTTCCGCGATTTTCGCGACTGAAAGTTCGAATTCGCGACAAATCCGCGAAAATCGCGAAATCCGCGAAATTCGCGAAATCCGCGCCTGTTGTAACAGCCCTGCATCACTAAACCGAGGTTCATACCCATTAACAAGAAGAGCATAGGGCCGGTGTACCACGAACAAGCCTTATCCGGATGTATCAATTTGTTGCCAAGGTTCATCCTTCCGATGCGGAACTCCACCAGATGACGGTTTCGCCCGGAAATACCCCCACCGACAAACCAACATGACACTTAATTCTGACTTATGCCCGAAAATCGTAAACGGCCGATTTAAATGTGCAGTGATCCGAACTGTCAAAACCACAGGATTTTTTGATCTAGATAAATATAATTTGCCCAGAATAGATCAGACACGAACCAACTAAAAAACGACTTAGCTAAATATTTCCCGCAAACACGGAGCCAGATGTCAGTAGTGTGCTTTGGTCAGAAATGTTATTGTTTTTGCTATGGTCATTCATGTCGGTTTGTCGGTGGCCGTGGTACCATTCTCTTCCTTGCTAGCGGTTACGGCGCTCTCCGAGGATGACGCTTTGCTCTTGTTCGGTTCTTGTCGGTGTTCTTTTTGTGGGCATTCTCCAAAGCTTTGATGAACTGTTCCAAATCGCCACTCTTGGCTGCTGCCACGGCTTCCGTGCTCAGATGAAGTGTGAATTGCGATACGATTCTATGACAGTTCAAAGCGTATTGACGTGTATTGAAGTCTCGATTGACGTATTGACGAAGATTTATTCGCTAGTGTGAGATTTATTGAGCATCTAAAATTGAGATTTAGATGTGTCGCCCCCCTCGTTCTGTATCGGGTTTGCAGTTATCCGGCTGGTGCTTCCATATATTTTTTATGGGAAAAATAAAGATATATTAAATTGTCCCAGCGGTTATGATCTTCCGGATTTTTAATGTGTGGTTATTTAAGCTGGAAATCAGTTCAGCTCTCTAGATAATCGAAAAATACGACAACTCCCGATAAAAATTTGCAAGTTGTGCAATTCAATGTACATTGTTTTGAAAATCGTCATTATAATGTAAACAAATGGATGGCACTTGATGACATTTCCTTTCAAAATCGGCTAGCGCACTCTACATTGATGGTGCATGAAAAGAGCCTATAGAACTTTACATGAACGTTTGTTGTGAAAAAGTTTTAATCTTATGAGTTTTGGTTCTTTGGAAGTGAACCTTACAAATAATGGGTTGTTAAGAACCATTACCATTCCAAATTCTTGTTTTCTTCATACATTGTTGGGAAAGGAATTATATTGGATCTATTGTATTTATGATTTGAGAACTTAACTGGTAATGGTTATGGTAGTCAGTTAGGTCCATTAATAGTTTTGTATTATCGGTCAACTTTACACGAAATAATCACTGGCTTGACTTTCTACCAGTGATTTCACAAAACTGGACCAACTAATTTCTATTTTTTTTATGAAACGCACATATGTTGGCTACTTTTCTCGAGGTTCTGGAAGAAAAAATCTAAAAATAATGTTACGTTTCAAAGTTCGAGTGGTATATATAGTAAACGTCATTTTATCTGCTCGAATGAAGTGCACGCTATTTCGATGCTACTCATTTTTGAGTCGAAAATCACTCAGTTCAGCCAAAAGGGAAGTTACTCAAAAATGAGTAAACATGCTTTTACTCAAATTTGAGTAAACGTGCTAATGGATGAAACTGGGTAACGGTTACTCAGATGATGACATTTGTCAACTGAGTAAACCTTACCTATTTCGATATAAACGTATAAACGCCCTAATGAATGCTTTGCATATACATTTTTTCGTCCGGGAAGAAAATTAAATTTGGTGTCGAATCCTTGGTCCTCTCCAACTGCATACGGCGGTCTTATACTACGGCTAGGCATTTTATATCCAGGCCAACCTCGCTCAAGGGGACTGAGCTTCATCCGTTTGAAGTTCACCATCTCATCGTGAATCTTCTTCACGAAACGAAAATCAATTATTTTATTCATGTGTTTCACTTATACATTTTTGCCATTACATCAGCCTTATACATTCCATAAGACAAACCACATAGGTCCTATAAGAATGCAGAAAAGGTATGTGTGACCGCTTATACATTTCATTCAACACATGATCTTCATTAACTTTTTGCAAGGCGTCTGCTTATTAGTTGACTTATACATTTTATGAATAATCAGCAATAGAAATTTGCCAAAAGGTATAAGGAGATTTCTATCCGTGTTGAGCTAGGCTTCCCGCTCCTTATCTTCCGGAAGCTGCTGCTGTTGGACAAGCTCGCGACCTCGAATAATCGGCGCTGACAATCCTGGCCATACAATGTTGGTCTTACCGATACCAGGCACCAGTTCTTTGTTCAAATCCTTGGGAGTAATACGTCCGGATCCCTTGCCTCGTCTTCGTTTCTTGCCGGCACTACTAACCGAAATGATTTATATCAGGACCATTTACCCAGAATCTGGGTAGATCTCACTCATCAGAGAAAAACCAGTTTACTCATTTTTTGACAACTCCATACAGCATGCAAAAATGAGTGCGATCCACCCAGTCACTGAGTAGCCTCAAAATAGCGTGTGGTTAATTGGTAATCAGAATCAGTAATTTACAGGCAACCACTTCGCGATATATTCAACACAGATAAAAATTCTGAATTTTAATTGTGATGTAAACATTCATTCACGTAGACTTGTATGTCATTTCACGCAACTGAGCAACTTGCAAACAATGTTGTATACAATATTTTCAACATTGCATGAAATGTGTCAGAACTTTACATGATATATAATGTAAACGTATATGATATGTGACGCTCCATTTATGTGCATCATATTGAACAGAAATTTACACTACTTTTTCGAACTGTGCACATAAAATTAAGCGATGTTACAAAACCATATATGAACCTTATCGTGTACCATAACCATTACCATTAAAGTTTTTTTATTTTTTTTTTTTATTCTTTATTAAAGAGATTTTTAGCCTTAGGCTACCCTAATAAAAATTGTATGGTTAATTTGCTTAACGACGTGTTCTGGGTATCATCCAAACCATTTGTAGTTCAATGATTTGGGTTATCGTTCGTTTATGGTTATTTTTTATTAGGGTAGTTCATCTCTAATTACCATTAAAGTTCTCAAATCATAAATAAATGTATCCAATATAATTCCTTAAAAAAAAATGTATGGAAAAAACAAGAATTTGGAATGGTAATGGTTATTAACAACTCATTATTTATAAGGTTCACTTCCACAAAACCATAATTCATAAGGTTAAAACTTTATCACACAAACGTTCATGTAAAGTTCCATAACCATTTCAGTTAAGTTTAGCAGGGATTATAAACAATGTTTAACCATTTTTGGTAAGGTCAAGTAATAGTTCGCATTTATGCGGGGTAGGAATTACTGAAATTACCCAGAAATTACCCTCAGTTATTGTTTTTACATTGTATTTACTGAGTAATTCAAAATTCACAAAGTATTTTAATAATTTGTGGTAATTTTTGATTACCGATCACCTTAGACGCTTGTTGGAAGCCCCTCGCAAATATCTAACAAATCTTATTAAATTTCGCTTTTAGGATAATCAGCCAATCATTTCACCTCATATTCCTCTATTTCACAGATGCGGGAGATTATCGAAAACCGTAATGCCACTACTCTTGATTTGATAACGCCTCAATCTCTCTCTCACGAATAACGGCTCCGATGGAGAAAGAAGAGAGAAACGTCAAAACGTCGCGCATGGTGGATAGTCGGTCGGCAAAGTAGAGTTGTTTATGTTTTGATTCGGCTTTCTTGCGTGCATGTGTTTCTTCATCCATCTCCAGGTTGTGCGTTGTATCAGCAGTTTACCGGTTTGTTTATCTTGTGTGAGCATTGTGAAATCGTTGTTCTCGGGATTACATACATATTGCTGTGCTGAAGTTCTGCTTCTTGTGGTTTATTCGGTTGTGGCAATCGTTGGAAGAATTGTGTAAAAATCGAGTGAATCCAGTGAGAATTATTTCGCAGTGAAAAGCAGTGTTTAAATATTCAAGGTGTGCTGTTCAAGTGATTCCGGAATCTAATCTGCTAAAGTATCAATTGAACCGTAAATTTGCTTCAATGGAAAGTGAATCAGCTAGTGTGGTTGCCGGTTCCAGCATGGTGGAGCCGAAGGTAGAAGCTATCGGCGATACTGGCGAGGATGTGGCTTCCGAGGAGAAACCCGCCATTCCGTTGGCACCGTTTCGCAATGTAAACACTCAACACGGTGACTATCGCAGCGTTGACGAGGAAAACATTGTCGTTCTCCGAGTGTGCCATTCGCCGGAACCGAAGCCGGTTCTGGTGGACGGCAAGGAGCAGCCGTTCATTTGGATTGAGGAGTTCGTTTGGCCCGGCGATGAAAATGAGGTAAGCTTTAAATTCATGCCCCGAAACACGTATTAGATTTTCCAGAATGTGGTTTTCCATCAAAACGTGTGCACAGAAAAGATTTTACGGCTGCCATTATTCCACATTAGCAACGATGGAATTGGCCAGTCCACTTGAGAGCAATTTCGGAGTTCCTTTTGCGACCGAGAGGAACAATCATCTCGTCAGAAACTAGGAAACCACCGACGATCTCAAATCGTTCGTTGTCTACCTTCATTTTTCGTCTCCGCTCAAAAACCAATCCGTCCGTCTGTTGTCCCCTGCTGAGATGTGCGTGTCCGTGGTACGTGCCTCAATTTGGTTTTCTAATTAAAATCTTAATTATATTTATCCCATTAGAAACCCGCTCCAAAGACACACGAATGAAAATCCCATGTGCGTGCGGTTTGGTTTATTCTATGACGATGTGGGGAATCGGACAAGGCGTTAAAAACGTTTTCTCCTCCTGTTTCGAACGGAGGAAGAAAGCATTCAATGTGCACTTTTCCATGTGGTGTGTTTGGCTCTCTCTCTCTCTTTGAATTCGTCTGATGGAATAATATGTATTTAGGTTTATTATTATTATGTGTCCATAAAATCTAAATCGAGCTCGGGTTCATCAAAGTGGACAACCATCTGTGGTTTGAGAGAAGAAAGCAATCCTGGAGCTACAGACAGGATGGATGGATTTTCAAGAAAATCCGTTTGGACTTTGCTGTGCAATTAAAATCCAATGCTTAATTAATGGTTAATGAAGCTAAAATGGCAATTTGACAAATTGAATACTATCGAGCAAAACAGTTCGGCCATTTAGTTCAGTCAGTACTTAGCAGGGGTCCGAGCGATAAATTTCCCAAGTAAAAAAACGTAAAACAGACGATATCTTACGGTTATATTTATGACCTAACCGACAAGATAAACGATCAAGCGTCGCAATTGCGGGGCACTATTGTTTACACACGGACTTTGGGGGAAATTCTTTCTAATGCGCAGAATGGGCAAATAAACGATCGGATTTTTCGTCCATTTATTGCTTTTCACTTCCTGTTTGAACTGGTTAGATATGCCACCAAGATGAGAGTACCAGTAAGTCCAAGTGCGCTGTTGGTGGTTGTGTCTATGTGGTATTAAAGTTAAGTCACTTGTTTTAATTTCGGCTGGTCCAAATGGTAACGATTGTTGTTTTGCCATCTCAATGAACGGTAGATTTAGATTTATGATCGTAAATGAGAAAACATGTTCAGAAGTTCGTTTTTTGTTTCTCGCATGGGCCTGCATGTCATATTCGTAGCGGACGAGTAGATATCTCGAGAATACGAAATTGCTGTTGGACATCAGAACAAATGGCAAACTATTTAATATCGAACTACAATTATTTAGCTGTTTGAATGTGCTGTAGCTTTAGGTAGCAGTAACACTTCGTTCAGCAAAAAGCAAATAGATCCGCACGGCAAGAGAGCACGATGCGAACTGGTTCTTCTAGAAAGTGATTCCGGCAGGGCGCGTTACCACTGAACTTCATCATGTTGATACTTGCCAGCAGTCGGCACCCACCAGTCCTGCTTGGAGCTCAACAACTTCGGGGTTAAAGGGGAATGTTAGTTTGTTACCGGTAATCGATCAAAATGTGACCACCAATAAGTACAATATGTTCCTACATCCCATTCACCGTCGAACAGTTTTCCGCGGTTTATACGACGTGGCGCGACATGAGTGGATGTTAAGTCAACATTGGCCTATTTTTTGCCCTCTTCTTCTTGCTGTAGCTCCCCGGGCCTAAACGATCAATCAACGTTGGGGTGCTTGGAAAACGTGTAATGCGTGTCAACGGTGGCGTTTCCTTGTACCAACAGTCTGGCGACGGCGGTGGAGACGCCCGTGTGTGCTGCCAAGCTAGTTAGAGTGCGTTTTCGTGCTTATTAACCACCATCACCGCGTCGAGACGTGGATTAATTATGCGAAAAAAATATGACTCCGCGTGTGTCTTTTGAGCGATACCGGTAAATCACTGAAAGAAACAGGGGTGCTAAATTGGGTGTTTACTACCGTGAGGAATGTCGAACAAACGAGCACAGAAGAGAGCCTCTATAATCGCATTTCTTCTCTAGGGCGATGAAAGGAAAATTAAGCTGTTAGGACGGAATTAATGAGCTACCAAGCTTTGGCGTGTTTTTGTAAATATTATATGAATATCAGGTGCTAATTGAGAGGATGGAAAAGAGTTGCCTGCTGGGATGATGATGATAATGATGATGATGTGCGAGAGAGAATGGTACAGGTATTTTGATTTTTTATTAAAGAAACTCTTTCCCCCACGGGACACACGATGGGGGAAGATTCCTACATGTGCACTTCCAATTCTCATCAAGTACGCGTGGATTGTGTGCCTATGTAAATGGATCTTGGTGGTGTACTCATCTCATACGTTCTGTCTAATTAGTGACTTAATGACGAAGGAAGTATTTTACGTCACACGAGCACTAATGATGTTTCGAGTGATGTTTGAAATTCATGAAATTTGAGGTTAATTTATCATAATTATGTGTTCTGGAAGACATTCGGGAGTAGAAGTTTAGCCAAACTTGTTTGTCATATGAATCACTGCTTCTGACAGCACTGATCAGCAGAGGGCGTCGCATTAGGCGAAATTCACTTTTGATTAACACTCCGAATACGATGCCTCCGAAAAACGTGTAACGGCAAGTTTGCAAAGGCATAACTTAGCCATTTCTTGTTGAATTTCAAAAACTGTGGTACCTATAGAATTCCTAGGGTCTGTAGATTATTTTGATTGTAAAAAGGTTGAAAATAGGATCTTGTAATTTTTTCAAAAGCGAAAAGAGTCGTTAAAAAACGTTTTTTTAAGGTGTTATATAAGAATGAATTTGGAGTCGTGCCATAAAAATACACCTGAATGGCCATGGGACCGTCCTCCGGAAGATACAGAAAATCCATATAAGTGGTCCATCGATGAAACTGACCCTAGAGCTTCACGTTTTTTTTTGTTTTTTTTTTTTTTTTTTTTTTTTTGGAGGCGAACCAGCCTAAGGCTGAAAGCCTTCTAAATAAAGCTAAATAATAATAATAATTCAATTTTTTTTTTCAAAAAAACTTGAAACTGCTAGAAAGAGCCCTCCCCTTGGCTAGTTTTTAACCTGGACTGGCCTAATCTTATGCTTTATAGTGGAGCGTTGGAGAGGGTTGGTTTAGGTCCAGCATCGTTGGCTCATGCCGTGGCAGAATAGCGTCATGACCATGCGATGAGGATTACTAAGCTTTCCCTCTCTGATGAACCACTGCATGGGAGAACTAAAGATCTAGTCTAGCAGTGATAGTATCACACTTGTTACTCCTTTGTTTGAGAGCCGCGTCGTAGTACGCTTACGTATACTACCCATAATCGCATATCAGTCCCATCTTTGCTTGATTTCCTATCCATATGGGACTGATATGCGATTATGGGCAGTATAGGTACTGAAGTTGGGTGCGATACTGGCGGATTTTTTTTTCGCAAATTACTCATATTTTATTTATTTTAACTAAGATAGATTTATTTGGGCATGCAAGGGAATTATACTATTGACATATTTCAGATAGTACCCAACAGTACCCTTCTACTTGCGTGACAAGCTTTCATTGTTGTTTTCATTGAAACATTACTCAGGGAACAATGTTAAACACTATTTTTGTACATGGTATTGTAACTAATCTTGTGCTATGTGCTTCATTTTGGTTTGGGATAAGCGTTTGAACTATGGCTCGGGATTTCCACTGTGGCGTGCTTCTATTGTGACATATACATACGTAATTTTGTGGGACGACATAGTGGAAATGTGTGAGCGTATACCCTATATAATTTAAAAATCAGCTAGGAAACTAACTTCAAAGTTAAGTATTTTAGTCACTTGAAGGTGTCACCTGGGACGAACTAATATATGATAAATATAGGCAGTGATGCAAAATATCATAACACTCACGTGACACTCGTCTTCGCATCAACCGAATATCGCTGACAGATCGTTTTGTCATGCAGTGAGAGTTAGAGCCATGGCAAACAACAATCACCAGTAATGGTCGCTGCTCAAAAGCACAACGAAAACAGTGAAGACTTCTGCAGTACGATCATGAGAAAAAGCGAAACGACAGAAGAAAATGAAAACAATGCCTACGCATTCCAAGTTCGACATGGCAGGCGCGAGTGTGTGAATTACAAACAAAGCAGGCAACATTAAATGGAAGCTGTTGGGTTCACTCACCGACACACTCACATAAGCAAGCAAAGCAGTAACTGCTTCAAAACGAGCACAGATGAGTGTCGTGATTGTCGGGAATGACCAGATCGGTGATGGATCACAACAGAAGACGACATTCACCAGTTGCTTTTTACTTCTTTCGTCAACTTGATGGATGGTCATGGAAAGAGCTTCGACGAGCACATTGATAGGAATGTACAAAGCGTTACTACCATCAGCTGTTTGGCGATCGTGATTGTGATAGGTCGCAACTCTGAATATAGGTCAAAGTCAAAACAACTTGAAACACGTAAAATTTTAGATTACATGCACAAGTAGAGGTACTTAAAAAAGCAAGGGTTATAATTGATTACGTAGATGTGAGATTTCAATTATTTATTAAATTAGACTAATGAGATATCATATTCAACAAACGAACTTAAATAAGCAAATTTACAAAACAAACATTAAGTAGATTAACAAAAAATTTAGGATGCGCTTATGGAGGCAACTAGCCTTTAAAGCAACTGGCAACTAGCCTATTCATATATTGTCTGTTTATTTTGATGGTTGCTTTAAAATATCAATTTGGTATATATGTGAAAGGATGAATCAGTGTGTTTGTGCAATGTCCTATATATGTGCAACTACCCTACCCACTATACCACTATAATATACAAGCAACAATAAATTCGTGTCTCGTATGCCTCCGTCATGGCAGGACGGCAAAGCAATCGGTGTTGTTTTATTTTATATACTGATCACAAC